AGGTCAAATATAGCAGGTGTAATGTGACAGGTCAAATATAGGTGTAATGTGACAGGTCAAATATAGCAGGTGTAATGTGACAGGTCAAATATAGCAAGTGTAATGTGACAGGTCAAATATAGCAGGTGTAATGTGACAGGTCAAATAGAGCAGGTGTAATGTGACAGGTCAAATATAGCACGTGTAATGTGACAGGTCAAATATAGCAGGTGTAATGTGACAGGTCAAATATAGCAGGTGTAATGTGACAGGTCAAATATAGCAGGTGTAATTTGACAGCTCAAATATAGCAGGTGTAATGTGACAGGTCAAATAGAGCAGGTGTAATGTGACAGGTCAAATATAGCAGGTGTAATGTGACAGGTCAAATAGAGCAGGTGTAATGTGACAGGTCAAATATAGCAGGTGTAATGTGACAGGTCAAATATAGCAGGTGTAATGTGACAGGTCAAATATAGCAGGTCTAATGTGACAGGTCAAATATAGCAGGTGTAATGTGACAGGTCAAATATAGCAGGTGTAATGTGACAGGTCAAATATAGCAGGTGTAATGTTACAGGTCAAATATAGCAGGTGTAATGTGACAGTTCAAATATAGGTGTAATGTGACAGGTCAAATATAGCAGGTGTAATGTGACAGGTCAAATATAGCAGGTGTAATTTGACAGCTCAAATATAGCAGGTGTAATGTGACAGGTCAAATAGAGCAGGTGTAATGTGACAGGTCAAATATAGCAGGTGTAATGTGACAGGTCAAATAGAGCAGCTTCGATTTAGCGCGTGTAAAAGGAGAATCAAAATAGACAATCAAACGACAGCATACAAGGTACCCTGTACATGTGTGGTATTCTTCAATCAAAATATATTTTTTTCTTTGCTTGCTGCTGAGCGGTATTAATAAACCCCGCGTCACACACGTGTCATACAAATGTTGATTTGTACTAGGCCAAGTGGTGCGGGAATTTTTAATGTGGCTTTTATGTACATCGATGTAAATATTGACACATAGTTCAGAAACATTGTGACAGTTCAAGTAGGTTTAGTGATTTTCCGACGACACATTTTTTTTACAATTAGCAAAAACGTTAGGTATTTAGTCAATTCTATTTAAAGTACTTTGCAGAGTGATCCCAGCTTATGAGTAGGGCCCTACTGTTGTAAAGAGAACTCAGAAGTAACGTATTGTGGTGACGTTGGGAGAATTTAGAAGTAACGTATTGTGGTGACGTTGGGAGAATTTAGAAGTAACGTATTGTGGTTACGTTGGGAGAACTTAGAAGTAACGTATTGTGGTTACGTTGGGAAAGAGAACTCAGAAGATACGTATTGTGGTGACGTTAGGAGAACTTAGAAGTAACGTATTCTGGTGACGTTGAGAGAACATAGAAGTAACGTATTCTGGTGACGTTGGGAGAACTTAGAAGTAACGTATTCTGGTGACGTTGGGAGAACTTAGAAGTAACGTATTCTGGTGACGTTGGGAGAACTTAGAAGTAACGTATTGTGGTGACGTTGGGAGAACTTAGAAGTAACGTATTCTGGTGACGTTGGGAGAACTTAGAAGTAACGTATTGTGGTGACGTTGAGAGAACATAGAAGTAACGTATTCTGGTGACGTTGGGAGAACTTAGAAGTAACGTATTGTGGCACAGCTAAAATGTTGGATGCAGGGCAGTCAACATTTTTTTTCTTTATTAATTAAATAGTTCAGTCTTCATGGCGCTGATATAAGTTTCAGACATTTCCTCTGGAGGGCACTGCCTCCACCCCCCCCCCTGGACGAAAAAGAAAAATATTTTAATATAGAAACTATATCCTTGAACTACTGTCCGCCCACCCCTCCCGTTCAACTCCTTTAGGTTGACTATAAATCTCCACAGTTCTTTACTCCATCATCCCCCCTCCCCCATCCAACAGGAAACCGTTAAGCTAGGCTGACAAGAAGCTCCCATTTGCCAGCCAGGAGAGATTGCATGAATGCACACCTTCACATTTAGGTTGATAAACTTGCACCTCCCCTGACCTTTCGTTATGAATTTATTAACTGCTTGTGGCGTGACCCTCGTTTCAAATGTTTACCCTCCCCCCCCCCCCCTGTGGGGTGGGGATGTTTATGGCAGAAATTATTGAACGACCTAAATATTGTTTATAACAGGAACCATCACTAGAAGACATCCCGCTATTTTAAAACCAACCTTGACCTTCCACACTCCCCACCGTCATATATCGTCACCAGAAGCCAGACCCCACCCCCACCCCTAAAAAGACATTTCACCTCAGCCACCCACCTCTCCCTCACCCCAAATTTGAAATTGTCTTTCTGAAACATTGGCGAAACTCGGTCAACAATGAATACATTTATGTTAGCACGATAAAAAATATTAGAAACGAGAAATACAGCTAAAATTTAGATGGCTAAAATTCAGACGGCTAACATTCAGACGGCTAATATTCAAACAGCTAAAATTCAGTTTCTAAAATTATTTGTTAAAATATCTTGACACTTTCGGACATTTGCACTTCCCCTATCGGCACACAGTCACTAAGCCCCCATAGTCGAATCCACCAGTGTTCTTTCAACATGTCTAAAAGATACCCTAAAGGTTTCTTTCACACATTTTTTTCTACGGGGAGGAGGGCACTAACAGCTTCCGGCGGGGAGGTGGGGGAGACGGAAACTGGTTCAAATATATATTTTTACAAGCTTTTATTTTACTCTTTTCCTCGTCAATCTGTCTATCTGTCTGTCTAGATCAGGGGTCTCCAAACTTTTCAGTCCGAGGGCCGCATTAACTATGAAATTTCAGTTCGGGGGCCATTTTTTTGCAGGCATGTCTTTCATTTTTCTGGGAAAAGTTCCTCAGCAATCACCGACAAACGATTTTTCCTTGGACAAAAAGATCTCCGCGGGCCGGATGAGGGGACTTCGCGGGCCGCATCCGGCCCGCGGGCCGTAGTTCTAGATCGAAACGTCCGTGCGAAATTGCAGGTACTTCTGACAGATACGGTTCGTAGTTGGTACGTGGGTAAGGACATTAAATTTGACTTAATTGGATGCCTAATTAATTTCTTATGAATTAATTAAAATTTGGACCGAATTAGTAGGCAGTTCTACCCACACGCGTCATCACGGCCGTCTTGGGCGTGGAGCGAGGGGGGGGGGGGCCTCTATGACAAAAGCGCGTCATCACGTTCAATAGGCGCGAAATGATTTTTAGTCGGGTCAGCAGTCTAGTTCTTTACCACTAGACTACGCCATCCCATAATAGTTTACTGAAAATTTAGCTATAAACTTGACCACAGACTGAACAGTATTAATGCCTTCAGTTAAAGAAGTGTTAAAGATTTGTGTTCTATGATATGTGTTCAGCTAATTGTGGCAATTGTTGGATTGTAACTAAAACATCAGTAAATGTGACACGTATAGTAAAACTAATCATATTATTAAAGCAAAACTGTTTTTCAAATTATGTATCATATATTTGTTGCTACACTATATTGTCTTAACATGCGTATAACTCGTTAATACTAATAAACCGGGAGTGATCTCCCCTAAACTTTCTCGAATATTCTTATATAACTTGGAATATAGACATGATTTTTAATTACTTAAACTTTTAAAAATAGAATAGAATCTCATAGAAAAAAGAATTGCGCACCAAGCGAACGCCAAAACAAAATGTGCATATTAGTGCGCAATATTATTAGTACTTTATAAATTTACATGCGTTTTATGAGAAATCAGAAATAGCGTAAATTAGTACTTCCGGTCAACGGAAATTACTCAAAATTTGATAGAAGGTAGACAATTAGATCTTTTACTGACATGTGAAATTTCATTTATCTATCTGAAATAGTACTCAAGTTATAGGCTTTTGAAAAATTCAAAGTACCACTTTCGGTTATCGGAAATCACTCAAAAGTTGATCAGGATCTACAATTTTGATAAAATACTTATATATGAAATTTCATCAACCTAGCTGTAACGGTACTCAAGTTATCGTGTTTACACACAGACACAAAGACAGACACAAAGACACACAGACATACGGACAAGATTGCAAAATTATGTGTTTTTTTTTTCGTATCAGTGAGTTGTAAAACGTCGAGATTTCTAAAAATCTCGTTGTTTTTTTTTTGCACGATTACAAGACTTTCTCTATACTTCGTATATACTGGAAAGTAAAAAGTATAAAAATAATAAATAGGGGCCCTACATAAAAACGTTTATAATTACAAGCTTTTATAAATGCACTAAAAAAATAATACAATTTGTATTAAATATAAAATAATTTTAATAAATATAATAAATCTGCGGTTACTTTAAATATAAAAAATTACTTTCTTTAAATATATTTCTGCACTACTATTTATATCACTATAAATAAAAGCGTGGACCGCTTGTTTAAATACTTATTATTATAGCGATATAAATAGTAGTGCATAAATATATTTAAAGATAGTAATTTTTTTATATTTAAATAAACCGCAGATTTATTATATTTTTAAAAAATATTTTAGATTTAATAAAAATGGTATTATTTTTTTCTTTTTAGTGCATTTATAAAAGATTGTAATTATAAACGTTTTAATGTATTTATTATATTTTCTTTTTAAGTTATATATATATTTATATATTTTCATAATTCGTCCGGGGAGGGTGGAGGGGGAGAGAAATGCCTGAAAGAAACTCTGAAACCCTGGAACCCACATTGAAATCAGAAGTACAATAGCACCTCGGATCCATTTAATGTAATAATACCCGTCATATTTTCCCAACTTGGGTTTTCCCAGCCAGCTAATTATATCCCCCATCGAGAACTCTCCACAGCAATCACGTCAACATGTTACACGAGCCAACTGGCACGACTTCTGCTGTCTCACGTGTTCCCTCAGATCAAACTCATCAGGTATGCTAATCAGCCGCCCACGCTAAGATGATGTCACACCCTGACAAGCGCTGGCAGCAGGCCGCATAAAGCAGACGACACGAGGCCACTGTCACATGACTCTCGCCTCGCCGCAGACGCTGGAGGATTAGTGGCCCAGGTTCTAATCTCACACACGCCATCACTTGCCTAGACGCACTCCGACTACACCTCGCAGGTATTTGAACCAACCTTCTCAAAACTTTTCTGTGATTTGTTTCGTTCAGCATGGATCACCTGTGCGTTGATTTATTTTATTTTTGAATACTTGTCACGTCACATTTAGTTGAGCTACCCTATTGTTATTTTGATTTTAGTACACGATCAAAAATGAAGGTCACTAGGGTAGATGAAGTAGAGTTAATCTGTTTCTTTGACATACGTATTATGCAGCCACATATGCATTAACCGGCTCGAATCAGCCAGGTACCCATAGGAGCTGAGTCAACTCAGGATGTCCACTGACACATGCCAGGTACCCATAGGAGCTGAGTCGGCTCAGGATGTCCACTGACACATGCCAGGTACCCATAGGAGCTGAGTCGGCTCAGGATGTCCACTGACACATGCCAGGTACCCATAGGAGCTGAGTCGGCTCAGGATGTCCACTGACACATGCCAGGTACCCATAGGAGCTGAGTCGGCTCAGAATGTCCACTGACACATGCCAGGTACCCATAGGAGCTGAGTGTGCTCAGAATGTCCACTGACACATGCCAGGTACCCATAGGAGCTGAGTGTGCTCAGGATGTCCCCTGACACATGCCACTGACGCTCTGCTGACTACAGACTAGAAATAACAAACCTAACTAAACGGTACTTATGTTATCTGTATTTTAGAAACCGGAAACGGGAAAGTACCAATTCCGGATTTCGGGGGTCTCTCAAAATTTTAGAGTATAGAGGAATATTCGTTAACCTAACTGAAACAGTACTCGTTATCGTGCTCCCACGTAAATATAGTTAAGTATTACTTTCGGTTAGCGGAAATCTTCGCACCCAATCTAATACTTAAAATTCAAATTCAGTCAAACTAACTTAAAAGGTACTCAAGTATTATGCTTTTGAGAAACCTGAAGTGAAGTATGAACCATTTCCTTTGACCGGAAATCGCCCAAAAAGTTGATAGAGAACTACAAAGTTGATGTTACGTCACACCTAACTGAAACGGTACTCAAGTTATTGTGTTAGTTGCACACACACACACGGAGGAGCTCTGGATTGTTATAAAACGTCAAATTTTTATCAGAATCTCGATTTAGATTTTTGCACGAATACAACGCATCCTTTACATTCCGAATACTATCAATTGGAGAGTGTGAAACGGCGAACAGTGTCAAAATCTCATTTAATTTTTGCGCAAAATTACTATACTTTCTCTATACGCTGTGAACGAGAAAGAAAAAATCTTCAAACTAGAAATTCAGAAATAAACCTCTCTAGTTCTTTCCATGTGTAGACCCATATGTAGGTGTATGTCGTTATTTCTTATGTAGGCCAATAGCCGGGAAAAGGATGTTGTGGGTCTGACTGACTAATCGTCCCACAGATGCAGCCATGCAGAACCAAACTTAATTGTGCTTTTATGACCTGTGACAACGTTTTGAAGCAAATTATCACTAGAATCTAAGCTCCGCGTGCAAATGTGTTGCCCAACTGATTCAATTAACTCAGTTTTTTGCATAGGACGCGTGGGCTCCTGGGTTAATTATTTCGTTGATGCAGCATGAAACTGATGAATCAATCATTTGGTTCAATGATTGAATTACGGCTGATTAAACACTTGATTTTATGTTCGTATGACTGCGACTAACATTTGACTTAATGACTGCGACTAACATTTGACTGTATGACTGGGACTAATATTTACCTTGATATTGTAGGATGGATCTGCTGGATAACGTGGATTTTCCTGAGATCCACTGGATACTCGTCTCGTCAGTTGTCGTACTCTCATCGGTCTGGTGGATGGCGGGGCGCCAGAAAATGACGTCCAAACCCTCCAACTTTCCGCCCTACCCCGAGCCACCATCTTTTATTTTTGGGCATCTTTTAAAACTGGCAGGCGACAGCCGGCAGACGATGAGAAAATGGCGCCAGAAATCCGGGGATATTTATAGCCTCGACTTCCGGGGCAAGCACTACATCGTCATCAATGGCTATGACAAGTTCAAGGACGTTCTCGTGCATCACGCAGACCACGTGCCTGATGCCCCGCCCTCATTCCTGACCCGGATCTTGAATGAAGACAACAAAGGCATCGCCGAGTCCCGCGGCGACAACTGGAAGGAGCAGCGTAAGGTCTCCCTATCCATCCTCAGGGAGTTCGGTCTGGGCAAGAACGTGCTGGCCGAGCGCATACAGAAGGAAGTCTCCATCTACACGGACACGCTAGCCGGCTACAACGGCTGCCCGGTCGACGTGCGACTCCCAACCACCGTCAGCATCTCCAACATCATCTGCGCCATCGTGGTGGGCCGGAGGTTCGAGTACGACGACCCCGACTTCCTGCAGCTGATAGGTCACATGACCAACGCCGCCAAGTACTTCATCTGGCTGCCGCTGCTCACCTTCTTCCCCTTCCTGTACTACCTGCCGGGCGACCTGTTCTACGGCAAGCGTCTGGTGTCCAGCTTCACGGAGATCAACAGCAGCTTCTCGCAGGCCCACATCCACTTGGCCAAGTCCCGGCGCCAGGCCGCGCCAGACAACTTCATCGCCGCCTACCTGGACAAGATGAGCCGGAAGTTGCAGGGGCAGGAGCAGACGCTGATGGACGAGGCCAACCTGGTGGCGGTCATCCGGAACTTGTTTATCGCTGGCACCGACACGACCAGCGCCATCATCTTGTGGTGCCTGCTGTACATGCTGCACCATCCGGACATCCAGGAGAGAGTTTACCTGGAGATCAGATCCCAGGTGGGCGAGGACCGGCCTGTGTCTATACACGACAAGCCACGACTCCCGTTACTGAACGCCGTCGTCATGGAAACACAGCGTCACTCCAGCATCACGCCTTTCGCCACGCCGAGGGAGGTGATCACGACATTCGAGAGCCACGGGTTCACGTTCCCCAAGGGCAGCGTGGTGCTGCCCAACATCGACTCCATCCTGCACGACGAGCGGGTGTGGCATGACCCGCACCGCTTCAGGCCGGAGAGGTTCCTCGACCAGCACGGCCACCTGCTGCAGCCGGAGCAGTTCATTCCCTTCTCCATCGGCAGGCGCGTCTGTCTGGGCGAGTCGCTAGCCAAGATGGAACTCTTTCTCTTCATCGCAGGCATCCTGCAGCGCTTTAAGCTGGAACCGGAAGTTGAAGGGGAACTTCCGCCACTCAAAGAGGTCTACGGCGCCATCTGCTCTCCTCAAGATTTCCGTATCCGGTTTGTGGCCAGATGTCAAGATGGTGACGTAGCATTTCACGCGTGATTGGTTTTTCCGAAATGACATTTAAACTTCGCTATTGTTTTATGTTGATTTCATTTTCTATGACATTAAACTTACAACAAAATACCATTGCAATCGTTGAATTGGTTCAAACAAAATGTGTTTCTATGTTCCTGTAGTCGACTCCAAATAATTTTCTGCGAGTTTTTTTCAATAAAATATTTTGTCAATTTTTGTCTCACGAATCTGTACATTTTTGTTCCGATATTTTCTACATAGAGTGAGTACAACCCAGATTATAGACCACAAAACTAAAGACCACCAGCATGCAGGACCACAAAACTAAAGACCACCAACACGCAGGACCACAATACCACCAACATGTAAGACCATAAGACCACCAACACACAGGACCACCAACACGCAAGACCACCAACACGTAGGACCATAAGACCACCAACACACAGGACCACCAACACACAGGACCACCAACACACAGGACCACCAACACACAGGACCATAAGACCACCTACCATGATGTCCACGATCCCTTGTTGAAAGAAGTTGTCTATCTTGAGCACCATCTTGAGGTTCGGCCCGTCTCCACACGTCTTTTCCTCTTGTTTGTTGTTGATTAAAGGGCTGGGGAGGGAGGGGGGGGGGGGAGAACAGCTTACGTGACTACATGTCCTAACATAATTAGCATTCTGTTTCTCTACAGATAGCCTACCACACAACGCCTCAGATAGCCTAAAACACAACGCCTCAGATAGCCTACCACACAACGCCTCAGATAGCCTACCACACAACGCCTCAGATAGCCTAAAACACAACGCCTCAGATTGCCTACCACACAACGCCTCAGATAGCCTACCTCACGCCTCAGATAGCCTACCACACAACGCCTCAGATAGCCTAAAACACAACGCCTCAGATAGCCTACCTCACGCCTCAGATAGCCTACCACACAACGCCTCAGATAGCCTAAAACACAACGCCTCAGATAGCCTACCTCACAACGCCTCAGATAGCCTACCCCACAACCCTTCAGATTGCAGCCCTTAAAATTTTATAATTAGCATGTCCCACAATGTATTCGATGCCAAATGACAGCTGTACCTGGTAAAGGGGTCGAACTTGGGGTCAGGGGTCATGTTCTCCATGTCTTTAGCACAGTTCTGCCAGCACTTGACCAGGTCACCAATGGTGGCCAGTACGGTGTTCTGGTCGGGCAGGAAGGACAGCGTGTCGGGTGTCAACACCATCTCCGTGATAATCATGGGGCGGTACGGGAGCTCGTCGTCCTGTGGGCGTGGGTACAGGTGGGCGTGGGTACAGGTGGGCGTGGGTACAGGTGGGCGTGGGTACAGGTGGGCGTGGGTACAGGTGGGCGTGGGTACAGGTGGGCGTGGGTACAGGTGGGCGTGGGTACAGGTGGGCGTGGTTACAGGTGGGTGTGACTACAGGTGGACATGGGCACAGGTGGGTGTGAGTACAGGTGGGCGTGAGTATAGGTGGGCAAGGCTACAGGTGGGCGTGGGTACAGGTGGGCGTGGGTACAGGTGGGCATGGGTACAGGTGGGCGTGGGTATAGGTGGGCAAGGCTACAGGTGGGCGTGGCTACAGGTGGGCGTGGGTACAGGTGGGCGGGAGTACATGTAGGTGTGGGTAGGTGGGCGTGGGTACAGGTGGGCGTGAGTACATGTGGGCGTGGGTACAAGTGGGCGTGGGTTGAGGTGGGTGTGGGTACAGGTGGGCGTGGTAACAGGTGAGCGTGGGTACAGGTGGGCGTATGTACAGCTGGGCGTGAGTACAGGTGGGCGTGGGTACAGGTGGGCGTGGGTACAGGTGGGCGTGGGTACAGATGGGCGTGAGTGCATGTAGGTGTGGGTAAGGTGGGCGTGGGTACAGGTGGGCATGGGTACAGGTCAATACAGGTGGGCATGGATACAGGTCATTACAGGTGGGCATGTGTACAGGTGGGCTTGGGTACAGGTGGGCATGGATACAGGTGGGCATGGGTACAGGTCAATACTTGTGGGCATGGGTACAGGTCAATACAGATGGGCATGGGTACAGGTGGGCGTGAGTACAGGTGGACGCGGGTACTGGTGGGCGTGAGTACAGGTGGGCGTGGATACAGGTGGGCGCGAGAAAAAGGGATAAAGGTGGGAACTACACGCTGTGACGTAGCGCATGGCGACGTTATGATGTAGAGCAGGGGTCTCCAAACTTTTCAGACCGGGGGCCGCATTAACTATTAAATTTCAGTTCGGGGGCCAGTTTCTTCCAGGCATGTCTTTGATTTCTCTGGGCAAAATTCCTCAGCCATCACCAACAAACGATTTTTCCTTAGACAAAAAGATCTCCGCGGGCCGGATGAGAAGACTTCGCGGGCCGGATGCGGCCCGCGGGCCGTAGTTTGGAGACCCCTGATGTAGAGTGTAGTGACATGAAAGATGGAAACTGTGATGAACAGAAAACTTACAGCGTTTTTATCCGGGACAACTGTTGAGTTCTGGGGGTAGAAACAATGTTGAGAAGGTCAATAACCTTTGCTTGTTAACATGGTTTTACCTGGACAACTGTGACACTAGACACACGCACAATATATGCGACCCCAGACATACGCACAATATGTGACACCCCAAACACACGCACTGTGTATGTGACCCCAGACACACGAACGATATATGTAACCCCAAACACACGCACAATGTATGTGACCCCAGACACACACAGTGTATGTGACCCCAGACACACGAACGATATATGTAACCCCAAACACACGCACAATGTATGTGACCCCAGACACAACCCCAGACACACGAACGATATATGTGACCCCAGACTCACGAACGATATATGTAACTCCAGACACACGAATTATAATTTACATATGTGACCCCAGACACACACACAATGTATGAATTACCTTCCTACTTATTGGCACCGTTTTTTTAGGTGCCGCCGCCTGGACCGTTTCCTCGATGATGGCGGCTGCGAAAATGTCCTGGTCAACGGTGATGTCAGTGTCCGGCAGGGTCACGTCCACGATCTGGGGGTTCAGGTGGGCGAGTTCATCTGGCGGGGGTGCCAGCATCATCAGGTGCTTCATCTGTTGGTTGAAGGAGCTGACCGAGTTGACCAGCAGCTCGTGGATGCTGCTCATGACCATGTAGTCCAGCATGGTGATGTAGCTGGGGACGAGAGGTCATAGGTCACAGTCTAGTCCAGCACGGTGATGTAGCTGGGGACAAGAGGTCAAAGGTCACAGTCTAGTCCAGCACGGTGATGTAGCTGGGGACAAGAGGGCAAAGGTCACAGTCTAGTCCAGCACGGTGATGTAGCTGGGGACAAGAGGTCAAAGGTCACAGTCTAGTCCAGCATGGTGATGTAGCTGGGGACAAGAGGTCAAAGGTCACCGTGATGGTGTAGCTGAACGAGAAAATGAGACACACATGAGATGCTTTGAGAAATGCTGCGAGAAATCAGTTTAGGAGTTTATATTAAAACATTTTATTTTTCAGTAACATTATTTTATTTTATTTGGACGATTGTTCCACAAATTGTCACCAGAGTAAGCGAAGCTATATTTTTGGGAAAAAGTATTTAGGATGGGTAAACTAAGACCACCATTTAATTTTGTCTTATAAGGAAATATGATTGATAAGTAAGAAGGGGCTGTTTTGTGAAATATTTTATATAGAAAAGTTGCTAAAGTATATATTATTTTTTCATCTATTGGAAGTAAATGTGTTTTAATGATAGAATCATGTCTATAAGATAAGCCAGTCACAAGTCTTATGTCCCTCTGTTGCAACGATAAGAGAGGAAGCTGTTTGATATAGGGTGTGAGGGTTTTGGTATGTGGAGGTGTGGCTGTTGGGTGTTAAGGTGTGGCTGTGGGTGTAGAGGTGTCTTAGGGTGTAGAGGTGTGGCTTGGGGTGTAGAGGTGTGCCTTGGGGTGTAGAGGTGTGTCTTGGGTGTAGAGGTGTGGCTTGGGGAGTGGAGGTGTGACTTGGGGTGTGGAGGTGTGACTTGGGGTGTAGAGGTGTGTCTTGGAGTGTAGAGGTGTGCCTGGGGAGTGGAGGTGTGGCTTGGGGTGTGGGTGTGTCGCTTGGGGTGTGGAGGTATGACTGTGGGGTGTGGAGGTGTGGCTTGGGGTGTGGAGGTGTGTCTTGGGGTGTAGAGGTGTGTCTTGGGGTGTAGAGGTGTGTCTTGGGGTGTGGAGGTGTGGCTTGGGGTGTGGAGGTGTGGCTTGGGGTGTGGAGGTGTGGCTGTGGGGTGTGGAGGTGTGACTGTGGGGTGTGGAGGTTGGTATTTGAGTTACTTGGTTAGCCGCTTGCAGATAGCTCGCTTGTTGGCCTGCATGGTGTAGATCATCGGCGGGTTGTCCTCGTCAACCACCTGGTTTAGGTCCGATAAGTGGGCTGAAAAATCAAATTTTGGGAAAACTGATAAGTGGGCTGAAAAATCAAATTTAGGGAAAACTGATAAGTGGGCTGAAAAATCAAATTTAGGGAAAACTGATAAGTGGGCTGATAAAATCAAATTAAGGGAAATCTAATAAGTGGGCTGAAAAATCAAATTTAGGGAAATCTAATAAGTGGGCTGAAAAAATCAAATTGAGGGAAAACTGATAAGTGGGCTGAAAAAAATTCAATTTTTTAGAAATTTAAAAAATCAAAGTTAAGTAAATCTGATAAGTCGGCTGAAAAAAATCAAACTTAGGGAAATTTGAGAAATCAAAATTAAATATATCTGATAAACGGGCTTGAGAAATCAAAGTTGCTTAATTTGTGTTTCCTCTAAACCTAACTAAACATTACCATAAAACAATGGATCGTCGTCCGGCAGAAATCCGGCCTCTATCAGACAAGACCGGCAGGCGTGGTACACGGTGTCGGCCACAAGCCCGCGAAACGTGTCCAGTTTGTTTTTCACCTGGGGAGTGGCAGACCACGTGACTTTGGTTGACCAGCCAGAACCATTAAATATAAACTGTAACTACTGCAAGTATAGGACGGATGAGAGGCTGA